GTGACGCGTGTACATCGAGTGTTTGTCACGCTGGGGGGGGGGGGGCGATCAGCTGTGCACGTAATCGCGTGCCCCCTGTCTACGAACCCCATGGATAGCGGACAGATCGTTACGAGGGGGTCGGCATTTAAAATCAGGATTAGCACCCGCATATCTCCTCCGAGGTATTTAAAGCATCGCATAGAAAAATAATTGCGAAATTTCCCATCGGTTCAGTTTCTTATTTGGCCACTTCTAAACCTAGAAAAAAAAATTCTGCACGATAAAATATTCGAAGTTTACATACTGATTAGAAAGAATGTATACATAAACTTCGGATTTTAAGAGAAAATTTCATTATGTTTGTAATAAGAGATAAATATAATAAACGAACATTTATCATAATATATATTTAAAAATGTACTATATATATTAAAAGAGTTTCACATATAATAATTTGTAAAATGATAATAATAAAGGAGATCGTTAGAAGAACGTAGGTGTTTGTGCGATTTTTGTAATTCTGGTCACGTGGCTCGGCAGACGACCCTACTAAGGCACGGAGGGTTGAATAGAAAATTGAACAGATGCACTTAATTTCATAGCGTGGAAACTTCGCCAAATGGTAGTCCAAAGGGGTGCCTTTGTACCTTTGGGATATATCGCGCTTGCATGTTGATTTATGAGTCACGATCAGTGAGCTTCCTTTCGATCATTTTATGAATTTTATTTAAATTTTTATCGCGCATAATAATTTACATAATAAATTTCTATAATTGTATAGAATAATAGAAAAATTCTACATTCTATATAATTATATAGAATGTAGAGTTTTATACATTAAACTGTGGGAATCTGAATTGTAATATTTTTCGAAAGCTTGATCGGTTCTGTTTCTTAGATATTTTTGATAGCGCGAGAGATATTATGAGCCTAATTCGGTTTCGCTGTAACAAAAATATTTGTCTGGACATTGCAACTGCGCTCGAGTGTGAGCAATAAAAACAATATAAAATCCCGACCTCACGCTCTTATCTTCCGCTGATATAATTAGCGAGAGAATACGGTGCGCCGATATAATACTCGCCAAGGTTATCAGAGAGGAAAGATTTCGCATGCATACGGCCGAGAGTAAGCCGGATTGTGCATAAGGTCAAGTGTGTGGTACTGCATACGATTATAAGAAATCGAAGCCGATGATAAGCCGCGAATTGCTCACGCTATATACGCCAGATGCTTTCCGAAATACTTTGACTCGCTCCGGGTGTAATATATTTTGATAAATAAAAATACTGTGCATAATTAACCGCATAATTAATAAATATTATATTATCACTTTTGTGATAAAAAATTATCTTCAATTACGAAATTATTGTACAGTAGAAATGATGAAACGTTATTACATTTTGGAAAATTGATATAGATTTTATGTCAGAAATATGCAATGATTTCTCGATTTTCTCGTGATTTTGAAGTTGAGCGTTACTTAAATATAAATTTCCCTTTATTTTTTTTTTCTATTATTATTATTATTTATTATTGTTATTTTGATTATTATTATTATTACTCTTAAATTCAATATCCCATTCGGCTGTTTCTCCGAGAAATTTGTCGCCTCGGTTTGTGTAAAGACGTATTTTTTTTCATTGTCTGTTCCAGACTTCATGAAGAGTCGTAAGCGCGGCTTGAACGGCACAAAGAGCATGCTAGAGCCGCCGGAGAAGATCACTCGCAACGCGGGTCAGATACGCAGCTAAAAGCCTTCAGCTTCCTCATTCGAACCTCGCCGTCTTCTTCCATCCATCTCGTTCGTACGCAACGCGAGACAGTACCGGAAATGGGAAACTGCATCGCCGTGAGGGAGTGACAGGGAGAGAGAGGAGGGCAGGAACTCGGATAGGAGGCGCGAGGTCCGCGTTGGCTGTGCCATTCACATAGTTTTATCCGCCATGAGCGCAGACGAAACAGACGGAGACGGACGATGACTAAAGAGAAGAGGAAAAAAAAAAGAAAAAAATTATGTAGCGGAAAGTAAATCGTTCATTCTTCATCACGTATATCTTCGTCTGTCATATCGCTTTGTAATACCATGAAGATTATGATAATAATAGCGACAATCAAGAAAAAGTGTGAGATGAGAGAAACAAAAAAATAAAATGGAAAGATGAAAAACGAGAAGGACGCTTGGTGATGAAAAGGGGGGAGGGAGAGAGAGAGAGAGAGAGAGAGAGAACGAGAGTGAGAGTATGACTCTCTCGTCACTATTTTTTTTTATATGTGTCACATTTTTTTGATTAGAATGTAGTGTAAGTAATACTAAGAGGAATATATAAAAAATTAGATTGTAGATAGAGTAATATGATTTGTGTCCAAATTAATTAATGTAATATATTCTTCGTTTGTTTCTAAAACGTTCATAGAAAAATGTTTAAACGATGTCGTTACACAAACACGTTATGAGAAAGAGAGAGAAAAACTACATGCAAATTTATATAGGCTATTCTCGTAAGGATTAGTTAATTAGATATTAAGATATAGAACAGAGTATATCGCGCGTATTCATTGGATCTAATTGAAGGGAACGCTCGAACTGGTCCATGAAATTTCAGTACTCGTGCCACGTTTAAACCCGGTGATAAAATTCTTTTGTTTAAATAGATATGATAATATTAAAATATTCTGAAAATAATTCGCTGCAGAGATATCGCGCCAGTTTCGACGTTGCAGCCTTGAATCGTGCGCGATATCGAAGTAATTTGAAATTTTTAAATTCAAAAGTTTTATAAGTCTATTTCGATTTTTTTTTCAATTGAATTGGATATCGTGTTACGGGAATGCGAAAAGGTAAAAAAGAAACAAAAGAGCGGTGGCGATTCCGTGGCCAGTAATCGACCGGAAAGAAGAGAAAATATATGATTTAGCTGTAGTTTGTTACCCAAGTTTAAGCATTGATCTCCTGTACGACTTTAAGAAAGTACAGCCGATGCCAAATCATCCCGTGATTTTTTCTTCTCTACCTATTAAAAAACAGAAAAAAAAATTTGTCATCTCCCTCTTTCCCTTTCTTTGTCCCGTATCGCATTTGTTTCCGGCAGATATGCGAGAGACACGTAATCGTCGTAAAGTCGTCACGGCTTTTATAGAAGAAAAAAGAAACATAACATTGGTTTCCTCTTTCATATCAATCTTATTTCTTTTAATAAATTAAAATAT